AATAATGAGAGAAACGCGCGATCAGTACGAGGCTTTGTGGCGGACTGCCGGCGCAGCAGCCCGGCGTCACCTGCGATAACGCGGCCGCGCGTTGGCTCCTGATTGGCGCGCGCACGCATCACGCAATCAGGAGCCAATCAGGCGCATAACGCATTTCGTGTGACATGCTAGTACGATTTTGGTCCCCATAATTTTCATACCCCGGGCCTATATATGTAAATCGATTCTAAAGGAGTAAACTCCAATAATGGATCGTGTGTCGCTGACGGCAGGCGGGCGTGAACTGGCTGCGGTTCCTGTACGAGTACAAGCTGCACGGCGTGCTGTGCGACGACATGGGGCTGGGCAAGACGCTGCAGTCCATAGCCGTGGTGGCGGGCTCGCACTGGGAGGGCGCCGCCGCGCGGGCGCACGCGCTGCCCTCGCTCGTCGTCTGCCCCCCCACACTCACAGGTCTTTTTAAATGTTTCATTACCATTTAATTTGCTAACGAGGATGATCCACTTTACATTGAGCGGTAGGAGACACCCCATAAATACCAGAAATTGAACCTGGCTACTCTGAGAAATAAATACACCCTCATCAATACAATTTAAAATAGATATAAATTTGATTTTCGATAATGACTAAAATAGCATCAGTGTAAAGACAGCTTACCATTTAAACTACAAGCAGTGCTAACCTATTTGGGCTCACAATAATGTTGTGACACCTGTTGATGTTAAAGCTAACAGTAACATTTAAGATTTTTTTATTTATTGCTTAAGTGGTTACCAGAGCCCATAGACATCTACAACGTAAATGCCGCCACCCACCTTGAGATATAAGTTCTAAGGTCTCAATATAGTTACAACGACTGCCCCACCCTTCAAAACGAAACACACTAGCGCTTCACGGCAGAAATGGGAGGGGTGGTGGTACCTACCCGTGCGGACTCATAAGATGCCGTACCACCAGTAATTCCACAAAAATTATAATTTTGTGTGTTTGATGTTTACTACACGATTTTATTCCTGCACCGTGGAAGTCAATCGAGAACATTTGATAAATACGTATTTCATTAGATAAGTTTGTACTTGCCAGCGGGATTCGAACACCGGTGCATCGCTATCTAACCTAAAATATCGTAGATACGAATGTACCGGATGCCTTATCTTTTAGGCCACGACGACTTCAAGTCACCAAGTCAACTTCAAGAGTCCATTAAATCGATGCCTACATTTTATCACCTTAAAACATTTCACGTGTATCTGTGTATTCCAGGTCACTGGGTGTTCGAAGTAAACAAGTTCATACCTTCGAAGATCCTCAGGCCGCTGCAGTACGTCGGGCCGCCGGCTGAACGGGAGAAGCTTCGGCATCAAGTGAAGTACCACAACTTCATCGTCGCCTCGTATGACATCGTCAGGAAGGACATAGACTTCTTCAGCAGCATCAGGTGGAACTACTGCGTTCTGGACGAGGGACACGTCATCAAAAATGACAAGACGAAGGCTTTCAAAGCCATTAAAATGCTGATAGCCAACCATAGGTTGATACTATCCGGAACACCGATTCAGGTTAATTGGCTTTATGTTTTATTTAATATTATGTGAAACATGCAAAGATAATGAGTAGAGTGGTCGTCTATTGGCACATTCATGACTGGACCTGTGCAATCAGAAACATGCCTCAGATGCTAGGTAATATACAAGTATCATCAAAGTCAATGAAGCCAATCGATAATATTTTTTAAATACACTGTAAAAGTCGTTCGTGAACACGTGTTAAGAACCTATTTTTTATATTTGAATAGGCTACGATAGCTTTAACCATAGTGGCTTATTATTAATGGGAAGCGCTTCATTTTTTATTTCTTTTCAGTTCTATTAATCTGTACTGATCTTTTGATTTTACTCAGCCTTGCGACAAAGCTGTTATAAAAGTTAAGTAACGAGTGGTGCGTGTTGAACAGAACAACGTGCTGGAGCTGTGGTCGCTGTTCGACTTCCTGATGCCGGGCCTGCTGGGCACCTCGCGCGAGTTCACGGCGCGCTACTCGCGGCCCATCCTCGCCGCCCGCGACCCCCGCGCCTCCCCGCTGCAGCTGCAGGCCGGCGCGCTCGCCTGCGAGGCGCTGCACAGGCAGGTAACTGCACCTTTTTTTTCCTACCTAAGCTGATGATAGCCTTGAGAGGCTACTTCATCGTAACCTTAACTAGTAGGTGAGCTCGCGGGACTCGAACCTGACGACGTCGCTAACATGAACCCTAGCCTCCTCCTCTACCACCTCTACCACCGGATCGGAAACGCGACCCACTGAGAAGATCCGGCGAGAAACATAGTGGGCAGCTGCACTGACCCTGTACTACTTGTACTACTGCCCATCCCAGACCGTCAATAAAGATTATAGAAGGATTACCTAGGTGCTTTTTTCGCGAACATCGAGTTTTCTAAGTGATGCCGAATCGCATGCATTTTCGTGACAATACATGAATATCATGGAACCCTATAAAATATGAAAAATATATTTCCGATTTCAGGTGCTACCGTTCCTGTTGAGGCGTGTTAAAGAAGACGTACTGAAGGAGCTTCCACCGAAGATAACGCAGGACTATTACTGCGAGCTCAGCCCCCTACAGCGATGCCTGTACGAGGACTTCTCGAGAGACCACGTGCCGCAGGACATCACTAGCACTAGTCACACACACGTATTTCAGGTAATATGCTGCTATTATTATACAGGATTTAAATAAATTTACTTTTGATAATGTACTCCTTAAGTCAGAAATACTTCAGAGGAATAGGGACAAAATTGTTTAAATTTTTTTTTAATCATCAATCACCTCTAAAACATAGTATATTTATAATCTATGGTACTATATATATACTTACTTGTGTTGTGACTGAAACGCTACTATATGATACTATACTTACTGGTGGTAGGACCTCTTGTGAGTCCGAGCAGGTAGGTACCACCGCCCTGCCTATTTCTGCCGTGAAGCAGTTATGCGTTTCGGTTTGAAGGGCGGGGCAGCCGTTGAAATTATACTTGAGACTTTAGAGCTTATATCTCAAGGTGGGTGGCGCATTTATGTTGTAGATATCTATGGGCTCCAGTAACCACTTAACACCAGGTGGGCTGTGAGCTCGTCCACCCATCTAAGCTATAAAAAAAAAGCAAAAGTGCTACAAAATTTAATTAGTCCTATCGATAAGTGTACTATTTGTCGTTTCAGGCTCTACATTACCTCCAAAACGTCTGCAACCACCCGAAGCTGGTGTTGACTCCGGACCACCCCGAGGCACAGACCATCGCCAAACAGTTGAGAGCGCAAAATTCTAATCTCGACGACATTGAACATTCCGCTAAACTGCCTGCCTTAAAGTTAGTCAACTTATTTATTAATAATATAAGACGTTTCATTAATTAATAGCCACACATTTGTTCATTAATGAGACATTATTTATATCTTTGTAATTCAATTATGTGAAGTTATGACAATAATCCGTCTCTAAATCGATAATCATAGTATTATATTTAGATAATTATCTATGTAATAAATAAAATGGCGTAAAGTTTGATTTTCATCTCGAGTGCAGTTTCTTAAACTTTTCCAATCATATTCATGTGTTTAGTAACTATAGTAACTCATAGTATATATTCTAGTTACGATAACTAGATTGCTGTTTTAATTTAATAATATGATATTATTTTGCGGTAGGCAGCGGCTTGGCTCTGCCCCTGGCATTGCTGAAGTCCATGAGCGACGGTAACCACTCACCATCAGGTGGGCGTATGCTCGTCTGCCTACAAGGGCAATAAAAAAAAATAATGCTCAAATGGGGTTTTTCTTTTAATTTTAACTGCGTTTATCCCTGTAGCAGACGGACACGTTAGTGGATGATAAAATGGAAACAAAGAATCGTTTCTCTTGGATATATAAAAATATCAGGAACGAGGCCGCTTTATTACATGTTCCGAACCAACTAAACTTGATACGTATCTATATGAAACATTACATCTCGTTTCGCAGACAACTGCTCCTCGACTGCGGGATCGGCGCGACGGGGGCGGAGGCCGAGTCCTCGCCGGTCGTGTCGCAACACCGAGCGCTCGTATTCTGTCAACTGAAGAAAATGTTGGACATCGTCGAGAGAGATCTGCTGCTACAGCATCTGCCCTCCGTGACGTACCTGCGGCTCGACGGCTCGGTCCCGCCCCAGCACAGGCACGCCATCGTCACGCGCTTCAACACCGACGTCTCCATCGATTTATTACTGCTCACGACCGCGGTAAGGGATGACGCAACTCGATAACTATTCAGTGGTCACGTTCATACATGCAGCGTCGACGCTTTTTTACTACCCATGCTGATAGCCTCGAGAGGCTATATCAGCGTAACCTTAACTAGTAGGTGAGCTCACGGGGCTCAAATCTGACGATGTTGCTAACACGAACCCTAGCCTCCTCCTCTACCACCTACACCGGATCGGAAACGCGATCCACTGAGAAGATCCGGCGAGAAACTCAGTGGGCTGTGTCTGAGGGTTAATTTACTCGTCGAGCCCTTCGTCGCAAGCGACGGGTTCGACGAGAACGATGACCGGTGCTTGAGGTACCTAAAAGCACCGGTAGTGGATCGGGAAGATTCGAAATGTCGTGTAGCGTCCACGCCGTGATGGGTGACACATGTATTTGTATAGAGTGAAGCGACTATATAAATGTGGGATTTTATATTCGGGGTGGGCCAGAGAAACACTCGATCACTACACAAAATCACGATTCTTTATTTCGTCTTATTATATCGTCTTAAGTTACATACGTCTTTCGTCTTCCGGGTTACAATGCGTCTGAGCGTCGTCGCGTTCGGAAACTAACTCCCGTGCTGCTTATGCAATAATCTAGATGTTCCGCATTCATTCGCCTCCTTTCTTACTTCCTAACACGACATCTCCTATCTCTCTCACTCAGTCATGCTCCATATCTGTCATTCCTCCATATCACTCCGTTCCGTTCCTACATAAATATCTACTTATTTATATGTATATTACATATTTATGAACAACTTCCCGATGAAGGTTAACATAGTTTTATAAAAACCAAATCTACTTTTTAGTTAAAGCATATACAGGTGAGCATACTAACAGACTTCTCGGCGTAAACTATTATCAAAACTCGTAAACATCACAATGTGAATGTCAGCACCTTTTTTTCAATCTGCAAAATAGATTTTAAAAAAGAGAATTTATTGTGGTATGTCTTAATGTGAGTCCCACTAAACTATGTTAGGGAATCTCAACTAAAGCAAACAATGAAATTTAAACGCATCTTTTATGTTTCAGGTGGGAGGCCTGGGGCTGAACTTAACCGGCGCGGACACTGTGATTTTCGTGGAACACGACTGGAACCCCATGAAGGACCTGCAGGCCATGGACCGAGCTCATCGGATCGGACAAAAGAAAGTTGTTAATGTCTACAGACTCATCACCAGGAATACACTCGAAGAGAAGATAATGGGGTGCATATTATATTTTTTATCAATACGCTTTTATTAGCTTCAGACGTATGTATGTATGTGCGGAAACTTTGAACATAATTTTGACTCCCTTCAAAACGTCGGATTAACTCGAAATTTGGTATACTTATTAAGGACCGATAACAATTCAATATTTAAAAAAAAAATTAAAAAAATTGATATTCAACTAGAAAATAAAATAAAAAAAAGTTTAAAAAAACTAATAAAATACGCTTTTATAGAAAATCCAACTAAAAAATAGAAAATAAATTTTAATTAATTTGAATTAAAAATAGTGTACGAAAAAATGATTTTATTGTAATTAAAATTTATTTTCTATTATTTAGTTGAATTTTCTATAAAAGCGTATTTTGTTAGTTTAAACTATTTTAAAAGTCACTAATAGACTAGCTCCACATTGTACCATTTACCGTGAAACATTCGTACACCATATGAAGAAAACATGTTTTATACATTCTACCAGTTGCAACGATAATCATTAAAAAAAAAGTCTCTTGAAAACTATTGAGTTTCGTTTAAAAATAATTCGATAACTATTGGTTAGCATCTGATTTCTTAATAAATCTACTTTGATATTTGTTTTTCAGGCTACAAAAATTTAAATTGATGACAGCGAACACGGTTATAAGCAGCGAGAATGCAGCCATAGAGACGATGGGCACGGACCAGCTGCTTGACCTGTTCACCCTCAAGCCCGGCCGCTCGCACGACCAGCCCGCCGCTTCCAGGTCCGTGCTCGAGGCGCTGCCCGACCTCTGGGACGACAAACAGTACGAAGAGGAATATGACATGACTAACTTCATCAAGGGATTGAACAAAATGAACGCGCACTAACATTCATCATCATCATCTTCGGCCTTACAGCCCAGGGAGGGCCTTAGCCTGGTCCAGTAAGTCTCTCCAGACTGCTCTGTTCAGGGATTTCTCCTTCCAGTTCCTGACGCCGATAACTTTGAGGTCGCGCTCCACGCCATCCAACCATCGGAGTTTGGGTCTGCCATGACTTCTGCGGCCCTCTTGCTTGCCATCAAGCAGTTGTCTTGGCATTCTGGTATTCTCCATTCATGGTAACATTACCATCGAATTAATTTAAACTTTCAATTCACATAGTGTTTTTGCTGACAGAGATTATACAACAAATCTCTCTCTCTCTCTCTCGATTTTTTTAAACTGGTACGCTTGCTAAGCCAAATACTTAAAGAGAGTTACTAGTTTGTGCAAAGGAGAACGTCATGTATGTACTATGAACTAATGATAGGACGTAATTCATTATCAGTAATAACTCTTAGATCCTTGTACCCATATACTTGATAGCCTGATAATCTATATTATTAATAATTTAATATGTACATCTAAGCTGGATTAAAATCTTGTAGTTCATAATTACTAAATCAGTTTCAAAATGCCCATGATTTAACACTGGTTTAACAATATTAAGTTGATCGTAAAGACAAAAAAGTTAGTATCGTTTTCTCCTATGTTACTCAAGCTTTGGTGTTGTCGATGAAAAAAAAATGGAATCAGTTTTTTAAATATCTATATCGTGACAAAAGAGAAAGTGTGAAAATACTATGAATCTAAAGCTATGTTCCGATATGCGCTGCGAGCGCTGTAGGCTGTGACGCCAATTTAATATATTGTGAAGCCGTTTTTTTATAGCTAGCTATACTGGTTACTGTTTAAAACGGAAAGTAGTACAGTTTTCTGCCATCGAAGTTTTTTGGCGTTGTTTTCACGTCGACAAAAATAAATATTTAAATTTAGTTATATTTAAAATTTAATTCTAGTTGTTGTCAGCTGAATTAATCGCATTATGAAACCAAGTATACTTTTTAGTAAAAAAAATGTTGGTTTTCAAGCAATTTAATGTTAATAACTTAATAACCTAATTATTGAAATGGAGTTATGCACGGTAAAGTAAAAGTAATCCCGTGATCAAAGCACTATATAGAAAATACCAGCAGTGTTTACAGTAGAAAAATGGCGACGATTTATGTCATATATTTCGCTAGGATACACCGCCAATGTATACAGTCGGTCCATAACGGAACGAATTTCTCCGCCAGTGAGTGCACTGAACAGTGCTCCCAGTGTATATTGGAACATATCTTAAATCAGGTGTAGTTGATTCAATTTTTGATCGTTAGGGAAACACTAATTTTATTAAAATCACCTAACCGACACATAGTTGCAAATGAAACCAATAAAAACGGGACAAAAACAAGTCTCATAAATATAACTATGTGAATTTATAATAGTCTGTTAGATTATAAATATGTGTCATAGCGCCTATAACATTATTTCCACGGTATTACATTATAGCACACATCTATTATTAGTGAAGTAGAAAGTGATAGTAAATTAAAATCATTAAAATCGCTTTTACGCTTTAATCTCGCGTATTCGAATACTTGGTTATATTTAATTCAGTCTAAGATACCGAAAACCGAAAAAAATACTAGGAGTTAAATTACATAACCTCAAATAAAAATAAACAAAAAAATATTGAAGTTTTAAAATATTGCTACTACTGGACACTTGACGTCCTCCCTTGAAAAATCTTGGAAGTTGATCGTAGCGCCACCTATCAAATGATTAGGAACGATTATCTATAATGATTAACTAATGATTAACTATAAAAAAAACAACGTAAAAGAGAGTTCATAATATAATCATCTGGGTGAGGTTCTTAACATCTTTAAGTCTATCTTTAAAAAAACCTATAACTAAAATACAGCACTACATACGCTTGTAGTTTCACACACGAAACAATTGCTCATAAAAATAGATTCAGTCGTTACAAAGTTCAGTTACAAACACACGTACTGAAGAATTATATATCATTAGGAGTGTGTTTTATACGTCAAAGGTACTATTGCCACACTAACACTAAGAATTTTCATCACAATAGGATCTATGATTTAGGAACGCATAGAAGACATGCATATTATTAACATTTACAACAAACAAATGACATTTTTATTTCAATAGGTAGAATATAAATATAAAATGATATAAGTAGGTATTTACATTACAAACTTTCAAAATGTCACATACACAAGTCAATTAATAAACCAATAAACCTGTTGTTGTTTGTGTATATTCTATTTTATATATTATATTAGTGTTAATATGTGCTGTAAGCTTTGAATTGCACAAGGCCCTATTTATAAGACATTGGTAATTTTATTTCTAGACCTCTGGTAGATAATAAATGTATACAATTTTTACTAAGTTTGACTCTTCGTTTGCTCTCGGTGGCAAAGCTGAGCTCCCCTCGCAGACTACTAGGTCAAGAAGGATTGCGCGTGAACATGTGCCGTCGATTTTAGTTATCCTTGAATTAAATTTCACTACCGTAATATGGTCGCGTGTGAGTGCTCACGTGCCTCATGCCATGGCCATTGAGATTCTTAATGACACGAATGATGGCGTTTGTTATAAATGACCTCGATGTTGGATCACCATCGTAAATTAAAGAATTTTTTTTTAAAGGACGATCTTTCAAAGTAGAAATGAAATTTGGTATTTAAGCTAGACAAAAAAATACTTGATACCACGGTTAAGTAAATGCTACTGGTTTCACTAAAATACGTTCTGAGATGTCAGTTTATATTTTGTGCACTTTTATGCATACTTTGAAAGTTTGTCACAAACACAAGAGGCTGATTGTTTTTTTGTAGTGTTAAATCTAATTTTGTTAAAGAATATTTCCTTAGTAAATAATTGAAAATTAACATCGATACAAAGTAAATTTTGTAAACTTTAAAATGCTGATATATGTTATCGGATTGATTTATAATGTTCTATTAGTTTTAATATGATATTCCTGATTGTTGACTAAATATTTTATAATGTTGAGTTATCTAATTCACGCTTTTCAAGTTTCTCTTAGTTATCAATTCATAAGTTCATACATCAATAAATTTGGCACAATATATTTCGGATATATTTTTTTATAGTTTTACACTTCTGGATACTCAAAAATTTGTTCGTCGTAGAAAACCGTGTTCACAATTTTCTAATTAAGCAAATTCTAAATTATAAGATGATTCACATTTTCAATTTTTCGTACATAATTCAAACATTCAATTCAAACATAGAGGCATCTGACATATTTTCTTCGAAACTTGAATATTTTTACAAAGTCGATTCACAGTTTGTAATAAAGGTGTTGATGAAGTTAAAAATACTATAGAGTCAAAATCGTAATTTATAAGGGTTTTATTAATTTATAAAACATTACAATATTATTGCTTCGCTATGTATAAGTTCCTTATAAATAAGAAATACCTCACAATTTCTCTACAATTTGTTTGTAAACTTTTAGTTGATTTAAATAGCGTAATAAGTATGAAGTCATTTGTTTTAGTCATTTTTGTGTAGTTTTTAGATTAGCGTGTTTGATTTCGTGTTTTTGTACCTGCATATGTGGAAATAAATTTAATATGAATAAATCTTTAATTTTAAATCGAGTTTTACTGTCCATTCCTTTAAAATTTATCTTGATATTAATAAAAAGTAAGTTCGCCTTGGTATTTTTGTCGCAAATTGTGTTTCTCGATAGTCTAAATAATATTAGTACATAATTAAACTGTATTTTAATTAAAACTCACTTTAGGAGTATTCAAATAAAAGGGGAATGACACTGGTGAAATAATTAATTGTCCGAAATGTAAGTCTGGAAAGATCGAATCATACTGAATAAATCAAGGTGATGTTATATCCAAATATGGTTGTATTACATGAAAAACGATTTGAGACGCAATGAGTCTGATCAATTGAGATAGTGTTACATAATGGTTACAGAGACTTTTCAGTGGAACTTTTGGAAGAACCGAGGAGCTACCTCCAGAAGCTTTGTTTCATTTTCTCGTATTGGTGCGATTTCGCAGATACTAAATAGTTAATAAATCAGCGTTATTAAACTTGGAGAAACACTAAATCTAACTAAGTTTGACAAAATAAAACGACTTACAGAACTTCGCTTTTCGCGTTCCCGCCAAAAATTTAAGGCCAGAGTAACATACCCGTGAACTAAAACGGTCAATCTATTGCCCTCTAAAAATACAAAAAATGTGTTAGAATTTTTTGTTTAGTAGTTCAGGGCGCAAGAGGGCGTCTTTGATTTAGTGGTTTTTTTTTTAAATAAGCTTATTAGTATTAGTATATTATAGTATGCTGTAGCGATATAAAAATACATGCAATATATTATAATTGACAAAAATCTAAAATATTTTTTATTTCACAATATTAGTAGGTATGTTGATAATTATATTATTATGCGTGTGACGGAATGACACATCAAAGCGTTCATTAGTTGACCAATGTGCCGCTAGGTTACGCTATTGTGCATCAACACCATGGCGAAGGCGACGTCAAGAACGTGAATAAGTTTCTGTTTTCTATACGAAAGTGTTGTTTTTTGTCAGTTTATAAGTTGAAAGACTTACAATAAAGCTGTTCTCGGTGTCGTTTTGTTATTAAGTGCTTGAACTATTATTTCAAAATTAAAAGTTTTGTGTGTGAAGTTGTAACGAACTCTCGGAATACTTCGGAATTCAGGTGTCAACGAGGTAAGAAATTGATGCTTATTTCAAGAATACGCCTTCTAAAATTAACACTCACGATGCTGGTGTACATTTTAGTTATCTTAAACCCCGTAATTAGCCCGAAATAATAAAAACGTTACATTAACAACAATGAGCAGGTAATAGTTATAAATAATTTGCGTTAAGGTTAGGTTTGTGTCGTCTACCGCTGTGTTGAACGTTTATACAACCAGTTATGTTACGGGCTATATATTCAATATATATTTTAAAAAAAAACTTCCCCTTTTTTGTACTTTCAAAAAGTTTGTGAACTATTTAAAACTTTTGAGTCACCTACTCACCTAGTGACCTAATATTGTTTTGAGTACGGATCGGTAAAATTAAAAAGTATAAATCATGAATTACGAAGTTCTTTCAATTACTTTTACAGAGATAACTGTTGAGTGATATTGAGAGAATCTAAAAATCGAAAGTTTATTTGTTTACACTAATTTGTAAGTAATTAATGCTACAATTGATAATATGCCTGATAGTAATATAGATAGTAATAAAATTCAAAATATATATATAAACCACTGGTTTTTCATTCTCAAAATAATTATGTAATGAAGCAGAAAATTATATATTTATATAACTTTTACTGTAAAGCTATGGAATAAATTTTCAATTGCTTAAAGATACCTGAATTGTCACAAAAACATTTTTAGTTAATTAGTATGTGGTCTAGTAGTAGTAGCCAGTAATTTAAACTAGAAAATTCTTATGAACATGTGTTAAAACTATTTCTACAGCCAGTACTTTTTTGTATGGCTTGAAAAACAATAGGCATTTACCATTATTTTATTCATTTTTAACATTCCCCGAAGAAAAGTCTGATATGTGTACAAACCTAAGTGAAGTATAATTATTGACATATTGCTCCCAGTGACTTCATAACCGATGATAGATGGAATAATTATGTATAAAAATATGATGATGAGATGACATAATGTAATGATATAAACGTATACAAGTTTATGAAAAAAAATCAAATAAAAACCTTTTTTAGAATAATGCAAACTTGCTTAAAAATGTTTTTTTTAGTAGGAACTCCAGCTGGGGGCTAAGCCAGTGGATTGTCTCATCATTAATATTTCATAGTAAAAAGATGTTAAGAAAATTGTATATGCAGTGTCTCAGCGTTAAAAAGCTGGAATCATAATAATTTATTCAAAATGAAATTGGGTAAATAAAATATCTTAGACAATCAGAATATATTATATCGTCACTTAATTGAAATGAAAATAAAATCTAATTTGAGGAAATAATTAACACGAAACTTATTACCTTTGCAATCTTGTAATCTTTGTATAGAATTTCATAACATGCCGTCACCAACATTAAAATTACAAATAAGAAAACGCAAATATATTATTAGTACAGTACATAATACACAATACAATGTCAAAAAAGTAAAAAAAAAAAAACGCAGATGTGTCATCAATCCCTCTCTCTCTTCTTTTTGTAAAAAAACGAGGTTTGCAACAATCAATTCCCTTTGTGAGCGACATCAATGAGAGCGGTTACTGTGTACCTATCCTTTGATCTCGCCGCCCTCTGAAGATGCGACAGTGCGCTAATACCGGCGTCGCGGCGCTAAACGACGTAACCGCCTTTTTGAAGTTTCATGGACTAAAAATGTATCGATTCTACGCTGTTTTTGTACACGGACACAGGAAGCTCTCTTCTTAATAAAAATACAAAAGTTTAATTAATATTTTGACTAATATGTCTATATTTATAATTTTGTATCGAAATTAGATTATTTTAGATATTATGATTTCTAAACCATAATCTATATATTAATACGTGAAGGAAAAACTTTGTATCCCTTTTTCCGAAAATTGCGCGGACGGAGGAGTATAAAATTTTCCACACTTCTAGAGAATATAAAGAAGTGCACAATGCAAATTTTTTTTTAAATAATGCATAAAAGATACGTTAAATCAATAAACAAAACATTACATACGCTACATACCATGTATTTGACGCACACTCGCATGCATACTATTTATTGTCAAACCTTTGTTCTTGACGTCTGTTGTCAAATTGAGATTAAATATTGTTTGTTTTTATTATTTTTTATGGTGTAGTCTTGGCGAAATTTGTGATTATAGAAGTATAAAATACAATCATAATAGTGTACAAACTTACAATTCCAATTAATTATAGTCGAATTTCGACTACTGCGGGACCTCTAGTCTTAATTAAACTGACTACAAGATTGTATTGAAAAAAATAATAATAATATAAAATGTGCATAGGCCATGTATGATTTTCATTTATTAAGTTAAGTCGTTTAAAGCAGACTAGTGAAATAAACTGATAGTATAAAAATCTCAGAAAATGCAAAAATTGTCCAGCATTTTCGAGGAGTATATAAGTACAAATTAATTAACAATTATATATCATTCACCGATCAACAAAAAATACTATGTTTCAGTAAAACATTTAAATACACAGCTAGCAGCTACAAGCGTCAAATATTATAATGAATTCGTTAAATAATCAAGTTACGTAGTTTTTCCTCGGATCCTTTGCGTCGACAAATGCTAAAGGGGGATTCATTGCTTTGTCGCAGAAGTGGGGCTCGGTGTCCGTCGCGAGAGGCGCCGGACACAAAGCAAGTGTCCGCGTTTGAAGCTTTATTAGATATTTTCTAGAAACACAAAGAAATGTTCCGTTTAATCTTCACTAAACGCTCGCAACAGCGTTATTATCTATGGTTTCAAAGACGTCTTTATATCTTGTTCATAGGCAACCTATAATGTTGGAGCTACAGGTCGGTAGACAGCGGCTTGGCTCTGCCCCCGGCATTGCTGATGTCCATGGGCGACGGTAACAACTCACCATCGGGTGGGCCGTATGCTCGTCTGCCTACAAGGGCAATAAAAAAAAGGTCAAAGGCTATTTATTTGGTTTAAGCGACATTTTTGCTACTTTACAGGAGAACCATTTGAAGCTTAAAATTTGGAAAAAAACTTCTTCAGCTATTTGAATGGAATAAACTTAATGCAAGTTCAATTAAAAGGAACAAACTGTTGATGTGAATACCAAATAAAACACAACTTTAATTACAAAGATAAATGTCGCTTAACCCAAACAGCCTTTCACCCTCGATAAAATACTAAAGAAAATCCCAGGAAGTCTACGATAATATTACTCTGTTTTTTTTTATTTTTATTATTAACATTGAAACGAAACATTTCTTTGTGTCTCTAGAAATATTTAATAAAACTTCAAACACAGGCACTGACTTTATTATAATTAATGGGTGAAAAACACTCATCTGTTAAAACTATTCGCGCACCATTTCATCCGTAGTATTTTTTCAATAATAATCTCTGAAATACCAACTGTAAGTACCAAGTTACAAATCAAACTGAGAAAAGTCACGTTAGAACCTTTTTTTTGAATTCTATAGGTGGGTGGACGAGATCACGGCCCACCTGGGGTTAAGTGGTTAGCGGAGCCCGTAGACATCTACAACGTAAATGCCGCTACCTACCTTGAGATACGAGTTCTAAGGTCTCAGTATAGTTACAATGGTTTCAAACCGAAACGCATTACTGCTTCACGACAGAGACAGACAGACAGGGTGGTGGTACCTACCCGTGCGGACTCACAAGACGTCCTACCACCAGTAAAAAGCATCACTACACACAAACAAATTAATGCAATAATGTAAATTCAAGTAATATTTAATATCGCATTATCTATCTGCTATCTATATAATATATAAAAATGAATTGCTGTTCGTTAGTCTCGCTAAAACTCGGAAACGGCTGGACCGATTTGGCAAATTTTAGTCTTGAATTATTTGTCGAAGTCCTGAAAAGGTTTAAAAGGTAGATAAATATGAAAATTCTCGGAATTAAATAAAGTTTAGATCTTTTATTTATCGATTGAGGCACTAGGAAGTATGGCGGGTCAGCCAGTTTTCAATATAATCAACGAGATAATGTCACATAAATAGTTTTCTCTAACACTAAGAGCAGGCTTAGGGACCCCGGTAACCGTACTCGTCGAACTCGACAAAGAGGTCGACGTGCAACCTAACTCAGGCATCAGTTTGCTGAGTTTTTTGCCGGATCTTCTCAGCGGGTCGCGATTCCGATCCGGTAGTAGATTTATTCGTGAAGCAGTTGCTCTTGAGTTGTTGTCTTCTTAGGAGGCGCTCGGGCCGCTGTTAGCAAATCCCACCCCTCCTGGCTGAGCCTTTGCTCGCCCACTTGTCCTGGTGAAACTGAAAAGGCCTCCGGGCCACCAGTTATCTTTCAATTATAAAAAAAAAAACATGTAAGTACTTATATCGCATTCCACGAACCCAAATATTGAACGTACCGTCAAACATAATATTTACAACACAAACATTTCTTAAAAGTGTTATTGCTTGTACCGGTTGCAGTGGTTCTTTAGAATGTCATAATAATGAACCATCACGTGTCAAAAGACAAGTAGATGGAGCTACGAGAAAAAAGTCATGTTTGTTTTAACTTCTATCATTACAATTTGTATTTATACTATGAGTATCTAGCGATGCTTGCTGGCTGCCTACGTAAAGTGTTCGTACAATGCAGCAATTATTGTAATCTATATTAATGTATACTTCTATAAACAAAACGGTAGGTATATATAGTAATAAACATTAAAACCTTCGTTTTAAAAATTCCTAATAGATTGTGAAAAATGCATTTCATAAGCAATATCGTGAATCGTTTAGTTTTCTTTCTTTCTAATAAGCAGGGAAAGATTACAATAGTAATTTAGCTTTTACATTTTATAATGTACTAGCTGACCCGGCAGACTTCGTAGTGCCTCAATCGATAAATAAAAGACTAAACTTTTGTATAAAATAAACTTAAAACAAACAAAAGGAATCCGTCCGACAACATCAAAGGAAAAACAAAATTGTTATTTTTATTTAATTCCGAACATTTTCATATTTATCTACCTTTTAAACCGTCTATGGACATTCACAAATA